TTCCAAATTCCTAATCCTATATCTTAAGAGTGATTCTCTTGAGTGTGAGTTTTAGGTTCTAGTTATTTAAATAAGTGTGTTATATCTTATTTGAATGCTAGATTCAACCTCAAGTTAAGATAAGGGTGAGTAACATCTCTTAACACCAACTTGGTTTGTTCCCCTTCCCAAAGAAATACCCTCTTTTTCTGTCTCGAGCTGTCCAGTAATCGATTATCAGTAGTAGAAGTCGATTATCTATCCTTCGTAAAACATCCGCAGTCTTCAATAGTCGATTATCACTTTCAGATAATCGATTATCAGCTTTTCCTAGAAGCCTGCAACTCACAATAATCGATTACCACTCCTCCGTCAATCGATTATCGTCCTTCTCAGAGAATTCCCAGAAAACTGCCAAGCACCTGAAGCCTTCAACAATCGATTATCCAATTAGGACAATCGATTATTAGCTTTTCCCAGAAACCTGCAATTCTCAATAATCGATTGTCACTCTCCCATCAATCGATTAGTGCCCTTCTCAGAGAATTCCCAGAAAACTACCCAGAACCTGAAGCCTTCAATAATCGATTATCCACTTAGGACAATCGATTATCTCCCTCCCCCTGCAAATAAAGAGTCTGAGACTATAAAACCCTGAGCTTAGATATAACACCGATGCCTTGTCTCGGAGACATTTATTACTAACGGTACTTAGTACCAAACTTGTTGGTTTTGAGTGTTTGCAGGAACTTTACAAGGAGGATGAAGACTTCAAGGACACTTATTCTAAGTGTTTATCTCGGCCCCATGGTGAATTTCTTATCAAAGATGGCTATCTTTTCCGTGGTAATCAACTATGCATCCCGAAGTGCAGCGTTCGCGAAACCTTCATCGACGAAGTCCACGAAGGAGGCCTAGCTGGTCATTATGGAGTCAACAAGACTCACATGATGATGAGAGAACACTACCATTGGCCTAAGATGGAGCGGGACGTAGAGCACTTCATCAAGCATTGCAATACTTGCCATTTAGCTAAAGGACATTCGCTGCCCCAAGGAAAGCACCTTCCCCTACCCGTTCCCAATGCACCATGGGAAGACATCAGCTTGGTTTCATCACCGGGCTGCCAAGGACTCAACGAGGAAAAGACTCCATCATGGTTGTGGTGGATCGTTTTTCAAAAATGGCTCATTTCGTGCCATGTGTTACAACGTATGATGCATCTCAAGTGGCTGATCTCTACTTCCGAGAGATCGTAAAACTCCATGGCGTTCCCCGAAGCATGGTCTCGGATAGGGATACGAAATTCCTTAGCCACTTTTGGACGACTCTATGGAGAAAGTTGGGTACTAAACTCAAATTTAGTACAACAAGCCACCCCCAAACGAATGGGCAGACTGAAGTTACCAACCGAACCCTTGGAACTCTTCTACGTACCCTCATAAAGAAGAACATCAAACAATGGGAGGAGTTGCTACCGCATGCCGAGTTTGCTTATAACCGAACTCCGAACAAGACTACCAGACTATCTCCTTTCACCATTGTCTATGGTTCGAATCCCCTGACCCCACTAGAGCTTGATCCTATCATAACGGATACCAAATATAGTTGGGAAGCAGACAAGAGATCGAAGGAAATTCAGGACCTTCACAACAAAGTTCGAGACAAAATCGAAGCTATGAATGAGAAGATTAGTGCACGCATCAACAAAGGAAGGAAGGACGCCCACTTTCAACCAGAAGATCTTGTTTGGATTCATCTGAGGAAAGAGCGTTTCCCAACGAAACGCAAGTCGAAGCTGTTTCCGAGAGCCGATGGACCCTTTGAGATATTAGAGAAGGTAAATGACAATGCCTACAAAATCAACCTTCCAGGAGACTATGGAGTATCGGCCACATTCAACATCAAGGACATCAGCCCGTACTTTGATCATGAAGAAATTCCGAGTTTGAGGACAAACTCTTTTGAAGAAGGGGAGGATGATATACCCCGGGCGACTACCAACGACTCTAAAGTCATTAAGCAAATTAATGGAATAATGGCTAAATGTTATGATCCTTTTTGGACCGAGCTTATCAATCCTAAAACCCGCCACATAGCCATAATTTCCCTGAGCCCAACCTCCACTTAAAACCCAGCCATTCTCATCCAAACCAATCCCCAAAATATCCAAAAAATATTAAACCCCAAAACTATATTTCTTTTCCTTACCTTTCCTCCCTCCATCCCTGACCAAAAACCTTAGCCCTTAACCATGCCATTACCACTTCCTTACACCTCAACTTGGCTAAACAAACAGCCACAAAAATCCAAGACACTTTGGCCCACACCCACACCCTTCAACCTCATTTGATTCCCCCATATCCTGCCCAGGAAATGCATCCAAATAGCCTACCATCCATCTTTTCCTCCTGCCCAAAAACAGCCCCACCCAAAGCCAATCAATTGTGAATTATATTCACATATTCCTACCCTACAAGTACAATCACCCCTGTGTTTTTCCCCCACCAAAAGAACATCAACATGTGGCCATTAATTCCTTTAGTTTGTGTGAATAAGAGACTTGGTAGTCTCCTTTTTCTATGCTTATATAAGCTCATCCCTGAGCATTGTAAACACATATATTGTATTCCCAATTTCCAAATTAGTAATACACTTGTTTGTGTGTGCTATTTTAAATTCCTAAATCTATATCTTAAGAGTGGTTCTCTTGAGTGTGAGTTTTAGGTTCTAGTTATTTAGATAAGTGTGCCATATCTTATTTAAATACTAGACTCGACCCCAAGTTAAGATAAGAGTGTGTAATATCTCTTAACCCCAACTTGGCAACATCTATCCCTGATTTTCTCCACCCCATATCCCTCCATTTCTCACTCTGAAATCCCCCTCTTTTCTTCCCTTAACCCATAAAACACCTTATCATTCCTTCCCATAACTTCCCTACATAGCCCAGCCATTTTCCTTCCATATTGAAACCTCGGGTAACCCTGATAATCGATTATCCTTCACGGATAATCGACTACCCAACACCCCTGAACTTCCTTGGCAGAATCTGAAACCCCAAATAATCGATTATCAACTATTGATAATCGACTATCCCACCCTTCTGAATCTTCTTGGCTTAAACTACACAATCCCACAATCGATTATTGCTAAAGTGACAATCGACTATTTCCCTTCCCTGAACTCCCAAATTTCCTTCCCAAAAAAATTGAACCTCTTGTTAGTCGATTATCATAAATTGATAATCGATTATTCCTTTCTCCTGCAGTTTAAGAGGCTTTGTCCCAAACTTAAAGCTTATTCCCGGAGCTCGGGTATAACACTTCAAGGGTACTTTTGGGGGATTGTGGTAGGCTTAAAGACATGACTTTGGGAACGGATGGGGGTGGGGGCGCTGGACCGGAGTTGGGGGTGTGATGGGCAGTGGTTAGGAGGGGTAAAGGCATGGTTTTAGATGGTTTTTCAAGTGGGGGTGTAGGGGTAGGCGTGGGGATGGTTAGGGCAGTTTGTGGAGGGATGAGGGCCATGGTTTTGGAAGAGTTTGGAGGCAGGGGTATTGAGAGGGTTTTGGGTTTCTTTTGGGCAGTGGTTAGAGACAAAAAAGAGGTGGTTATTGAGAAGTATTGGGGCATGGGTATTGAGGTGATATTGGGGACAATTTGGGCAGTAGTTGTGGAAGGTAATGGCATGGTGTTAAGTGGTTTTTGAGCCATAGGTGTGGGAGAGGTTTGGGGAATATTTTGGGCAGTAGCTAAGGAAGAAACAGAGATGTGTTTAGATGGTGTTTGAAATGTAGGTGTGGGTGATGGAATGGGGATGGTTGTGGCCATGTGTAGGGTACTTGCTCTTGGTGTTTTCGGAGTGGCTTCATGGGGTAGTTTTTGTGGAGACAAAGGCATGGTTGGCATTTGAGTTTTAGAGGGGTTTGGGGGAACCGTGTGATGGTAATTTCTCAGCAAAAATCTCTTGATCAAAAGCTTCCTCATCTTCTCCCAAGTTTGTATTTTGGGCTTTCCTTCAAACTTTCTCTTAGTGGAAATATGTGTCCACCAAGTGGCAGCGTTTCATTGGAACCGGGAGGCTACAAGCTTGACCATTTTGCCTTTGGGCATATCCTTGAGGATTAGGATATGTTCAACCTTCTTGAGCCACTGTAGGAATTTCTCCGGGTCGTTTCTTCCTTCAAAGGTCGGAATGTCCACTGAATTTGTGAACTCTCCAATGTTTTTCATCAAAGCATCAAGCTCCTTCTTGAGTTTATTCTGTTCAGCAACTAAATCTCCATGGGACATGTTTTGGGAGTGGTTTGACATGGTTTTAAGGAAGAAGAAGTGCAGGGTATTTTGGGGTATAGGTTGGCTGAATTGGAGTTGGTTTTTGGGGGCTTAAAGTGAACAAAGATAGGTTATGCTGGGGTTGGATCCTGGGCAGTGAGTTGGAAGGTTTTTGGAGTATGTTTTGGCTTGGTTTTTGGATGGTTTAGCGAGGGACTGTTTTAGGTGATAAGGTGGGTGGGCTTTTGGGTTTTTTGGGCTGTCTTTGGCTTCTCAAACCAAAGCAAAAGGTGATGGAGGAATGGCCTCTTTTTGGGGGGGGCTGGTTTTGGGCAGTAGGGAATGAAGGAAGAAAAGTGGGTTCTGGTGGGCTGTTTTTTTTGCAGTAGGTTTGGGACGAAATGGGTGAGGGAAGTGTTTTTGGCCCTTATGGATGTGGAACAATGAGCTTTGATACCAGATGTTATACCCGAGACCCGGGGTATAAACGAGTTGCTATTTTGTGGTGGAATTAAGGGATGATGCAGCTTGAGTTCAAGGTTCAGGAGCAGGTGATAATCGATTATGGCCAGGTGTTAATAGATTGTGGAGCTGTGCTGCTAAAACCCAGAAACGTCAGGGAAGGGAGATAATCGATTATCAGTGTATGATAATCGATTATTGGGGTTCGCAGCTTATTCCAAGGGAGTTCAAGAGGGGACGATAGTCGATTATCCTTGTTGATAGTCGATTATCAAGGTAGTCAGGATCCAAAATCTGGGTGGAAAATATGGAGGAGATGAAGGTGTTCTTTTGGGTGTTTTTAGTGGGAGAAAAGAGTAAGGTTAAGAGGAGAAATGGGGAGATAAGAAATGGAAGAAAAATCAGGGATGGATAAACCAAGTTGGTGTTTAAGAGATATTACACACTCTTATCCTAACTTGGGGTTTGAATCTAGAATTTAATTAAGATATGACACACTTAATCAAATATCTAGAACCTAAAACTCACACTTAAGATAACCACTCTTAAGATATATAGAATTAGGAATTTGGCTAAAATAGCATCACACTATTTTATAAATACTCAAAGAGTAAAAGGTAGTTTTTTTAATATTCAAAGTTGGTGTTACAATGGCCATATGGCCTGATTATATATATAGGCAGGGGAAGGGGGAAAACATACACTATACATTGAATGTGAATAAGAGGAAGCTTCCTAGAAACATCCACTTCAAAAGCATGGGGCATTCTCCATTCAATCCTGTCTCCTTAGTGGGATAAAATTCAGGGATGGGGCTGGTGTTGTGGGGGTTTTGAGCTTTGGTTTGTAGTGGTTGTTTCCTGGGTTTTAAGGCTATTATTTGGGTAAATATGAGGGGTTGTGTTTGCTAAGAAAAGGGGTCAGGGATGGGGGATATAATGGGTGGTTTTGGACTTATAGGTTTGGGTTATTTGTGAGGGAACATGGGCAGGAAGTAGGGGCTGGAGGTGGGTCATGGTTTTGGCTTTTTGTGGGTGTTTATGTTGGGATTGTGAGGTTTAATTGGCCAGGAAATAAAAGGAATGGAGGGAAGGTTTTACTTGTTTATTAAAAGGCTTAAAAGAAGAAAAATAACAACAAACAAAAGGTTTTGGTTTGCACACTCTTATTTTCGGCCAGGGGCTAAAATAAGAGTAATAAAAACTTTATTTTGAAATGAAGTAAATGGCAAGGAGTTTTGGATATTTTGGGTTGGGTTGGACGGAGTGGGAGTCGGCCTGTGGAACCCTTGGGTCCAAAGTTAATCTGGCCTCTTGGGTTGAAGGACTCGGAATTCTCACTAAAACGGATGTTTGAACATAAGTCCTTTGGTTTTTGCGAGGGTGTGGGACATGGGGGAGGGTATGATAGGGCCAGGCCCGGATATAACAAAGACCTTGAAGAAGAAGAATGTATCGGAGCGGACGAAGGAGAACTCTTGGTCATCCGTAGAACCTTGAGTAGCATCGCTGGTCCCGACGATCAACTACAACGGGAAAACATCTTCCACACCCGTTGCACAATTCAAAAGAAGGTGTGTTCTTTAATTGTGGACAGCGGAAGTTGCACCAACGTGGCATCCAAAATGATGGTGGAAAAGTTGAAAATCAAGACCTCACCACACCCAAAACCCTACACGATTCAATGGTTGAACCATGGGAAAGGGTTACGTGTGGATTCTCGGAGTTTGGTCTCTTTAAGTATCGGAAAAACTTATTCCGATGAAATATGGTGTGACATCATTCCGATGGACGCTTGCCATATCCTCTTAGGCCGTCCTTGGTTATTTGATCGAAAGGTGTTCCATGACGTATGCTAACACATATTCGTTCCTTATCAACAAAAAGAAGGTCACTCTTACCCCTCTCCGACCTTCCTCACCTACGGCCCCCTCCTCTCCAAAAGAAGAACCTCCCATCCTTCTCTCCACCATATTGCAAGCCGAGCATCATGAAACTAAAGCCCAAAAGGAACTTATTCTTTTTGAAGAAGCTGAAACCGATCCCCTACCCTCACCTTCACCCCCTCATCCATTAGCCCAACCGATCCTTGAACACTACTCTCATGTCTTCCCCGAAGATGTTCCTCACGGCCTCCCTCCAAAAAGGGACATCCAACACAAGATTGACCTCATCTCGGGGGCTGCCTTGCCCAACAAACCAGCTTATCGCATGAACCCGGAGGAAACTAAAGAAATCTAAAGGCAAGTAGATGAATTACTAGCCAAAGGATTTGTAAGGGAAAGCTTAAGTCCGTGTGCTGTTCCGGCTCTTTTAGTGCCAAAGAAAAATGGCACTTGGCGTATGTGTTGTGATAGCCGTTCAATAAACAAGATTACTATCAAGTATAGGTATCCCATACCTAGACTTGAGGACATGCTAGATGAGCTCCATGGTTCTAAGATCTTTTCTAAAGTTGATCTTAGAAGTGGTTACCACCAGATTCGAATCTACAAAGGAGATGAATGGAAGACGGCGTTTAAAACCAAATTTGGGCTTTATGAGTGGCTGGTCATGCCGTTTGGGTTAACCAATGCCCCAAGCACATTCATGAGACTCATGAATCAAGTCCTAAAGCCATTGATAGGTCACTTTGTCGTGGTCTACTTTGACGACATTCTGATCAAAAGTCGGAGCGAAGAAGATCATGTTAATCACCTTACTTTAGTGATTAAGAAGTTGGACGACGAGAAGCTATACGGGAACCTTGAGAAAAGCCAATTCCTTACTCAAGAGACGGAGTTCTTAGGATACTTTATCTCAAATGACGGCATAAAAGTTGATGAGAAGAATTCCCAAGCCATTAAGGAATGGCCGACCCCCACTTCAATGCAGCAAGTTCGGAGCTTCCATGGATTAGCCTCTTTCTACCGAAGATTTGTGAAGGATTTTAGCACAATCACGGCGCCCATCACTGATCTAACCAAAAATCAGAAGTTCGAGTGGAAGTCTAAAGCCCAACAAGCCTTCGAAACGATCAAGGAACGATTAACACATGCCCCGGTAATAGCTTTTCCTAGTTTCAACAAATTATTTGAAGTTGAGTGTGATGCCTCGGGAGTTGGCATAGGGGCTGTCCTATCCCAAGAAGGACATCCGGTGTCAAACTTTAGCGAAAAGTTAAATGACACGAGGAGGCGATATTCCACTTATGACAACGAGTTCTATGCGTTGGTGCAATCACTTGAGCATTGGCGTCATTATCTCATAAGCAAGGAGTTTATCTTACATTCCGACCATGAGGCATTAAAATACATTCAAGGACAGCATAAACTCCGAACCCGGCATGCTAAGTGGGTCAAATATATCCAAACCTTCACCTTCACCATCAAACATAAAAACGGAACCATGAAAAAGGGCGCCGATGCCTTGTCCTGATGACATTTATTACTAACGGTACTTAGTACCAAACTTATTGGTTTTAAGTTTTTGCAGGGGCTATACAAGGAGGATGAAGACTTCAAAGACGCTTACTCCAAGTGCCTAATCCGACCCCATGATGATTTCCTAGTCAAGGATGGTTACCTCTTCCGTGGTAACGAATTGTGCATCCCGAAGTGTAGTGTTCGTGAGACCCTTATCGACGAAGTCCATGGAGGAGGCCTAGCTGGTCATTATGGAGTTGACAAGACCCAGATAGTCGACTATCAGTAGTTGATACTCGATTATTGGGGCTTTGCAGCAGACTCTGAGAAAGTCCTGAAGGGTGAGATAGTCGATTATCTTTATTGATACTCGATTATCAAGGCAGTCGAGATTCAAAATCTGGGCAGAAAAATAGTGGAGTTTGAGTGGGGAATTGCTGGGATTAATATGGAAATGATGAAGGAGTTCTTTTGGGTATTTTAGTGGAAGAAAAGAGTAAGGTTAAGAAGAGAAATGGGGGGATTTGAAATGGAAGAAAATCAAGGATGGATAAACCAAGTTGGTGTTTAAGAGATATTACACACTCTTATCCTAACTTGGGGTTTGAATCTAGAATTTAATTAAGATATGACACACTTAAATAATATCTAGAACCTAAAACTCACACTTAAGATAACCACTCTTAAGATATAGAATTAGGAATTTGGCTAAAATAGCATCACACTATTTTATAAATACTCAAAGAGTAAAAGGAGTTTTAATATTCAAAAGATGTGTTTACAATGGCCATAGAGCCTGATTATATAGGCACGGGGAAGGGGGAAGAAATACACAATACATTGAATGTAGACATAAGGAAACTTCCTAGCAACATCCTCTCACAAAGCCCTGAAATATCAGCCATGTTTTGAGGTCCTTTTATTGGAATAAAATCAGGGATGGGTGTGGTTGTAGGGACTCCATTGAAAAGCAAACCAGGAGGAATGAATGGCCTTCTTTTGGGCTGATTTTAGGGGATGTATTCAGCCAACTAGGGGGGACAAAGGGAAAGGATAATGTGTGGTACTTTGGTTGCATATATGAGGATTTATTTGGTGGTTAAAGGGTTAAGAAAGTAACATGTTTCTCCTGGACTTTTATGGTTGTTTAGTGTGTTGTACTAGGGAACATAGTAGGGACCATGTTGGGTGGATGTTGGAAGATGAATGGGGCTGTTTTGGTTTCCTATTGTGACCAGGGATTAAAATAGAAAGAAGAGACTTTATTTTGGATATCAAAAGGAAATAAAATACTTTTGGATGTCTGGGGTTGGGTTGGACGGAAAAGGGGGTTGACCAGCGGAACCCTTAGGTCAAAAACGAAAGTTATTTTGGCCTTTCGGGCTAAAGGACATTGAATTCTCACTAAAATGGATCATAATGTTTGAATATAAGTCCTTTGGTTTCCATGAGGGTGTGGGATGTGGGAGAGGGTATGATAGGGCCGAGCTCGGGTATATCATCCTCCCCGTCTTCAAAACAATTTGCCCTCAAACTCGAATTTTCTTTAGGCTTGCAATAGGGGCTGGAACTGATCATGTTTGGACCTTCTTCTTTGAATATGCCTTGCCTTGAATCAACACCAGAACACTTATATAAAGTGTTCTTCCTTCCATGTATAACTTGATGGTATCCCTGCAGATTAAACAGAAAAAGATTGGCACCAAAGGCCATTAGTGCTGACATGGTTTCATGGTTTCCATTTTCAAGGGATGGCACGCATGGAAAACTCTCAAAGAGGCATAAAGATCCATTTTGCTCAAACAATGGTTCGTGCAGCAACTCTTTTGGTTTTGGAAGATTGGGTTTGACAAATATTGATAGTATGGAATGAGATGGTTCTTGGGGAAGTAGAGTACACGGAGCCAATGGTGTTTCAATATTGTCTTTGAAGGAGTGAAAGACATTTACCCCATTGTAGCTCTCATTTCCTTCATCCCAAATGGGCTCTTCAAGTGAGACTTGATGTTTTATTTCATCAACGAAACAAACTTCTTCATTGTCACTTGTCCATTCGAGGTACTCTTCAAAGGGGATAGCCTCCTCATTTGGACACTCAGAGTAGTCATGACCATAGCCACAACACATATAACAACGTCGATCATGCCCTTGAAATATTACCTCATTGGCATAAATAACCTCTAGATTTTTGAGGTATCTTTGGACATCCATATCTCAACAACCGGAGATTGGAATTAAGTGCTTCCAACTCTCAGAGTTAGATAATGTAGTCCTTAAACACTTATCAAAAATTAAAGGGCGTTGGAGAAGCTGGAATGGTTCGTCAGAGGCAAAAGAAGCAAGGCTATGAGACTGCTGGCAGAATTGGTTGTCAACTTCGGAAGGGCGTATCTCACAAACTGTAGCTTCGAATTGATTGACATAAGCGGCCAGGCGCAGCTAAAGGGTCAAACTTCTAGTCTGGAAATTTTCACCCTCAAATACGTATCATAGCTTCCTCCGTGCTCAATCCTTTGGAGCTGAAGTTTCTGAAAAATTTTCAGCAACCTTGTTTTGTGAAACGGTTGCAAAGCCGGTCCTCCGGGTAGACACCATGATGTACCCCCGGATGACTCAAGCAAAACCACCCTCTCCCAAATATCCAAAAAAGTTTTATCTCCTTTCCTTTATCAAAAATAAAATCTTTTCCATCAAAATAAAAACTTTTGTTTCTTGTTTTTTGCCTTTTCAAACAAAACCACAAAATATCTCCTCTTTCTTTCCTAATCTTGATCCTGAAAGCCTGAATAATCGATTATACACAACTGATAATCGACTATTCTATCCCTCTGATTCCTCGTCACAAACTAGCAACCTCCAACAATCGATTATCTCCAAACCAATAATCGATTATCTATGACCTCTGAAAATACCCAGTTTTGTGCAAGCCTTATTAATCGATTGTTCTTCAGTGTTAATCGACTATTGAGCGTCTATGAACATTCCCGGTTTGGAACCAAATCCTGTTAATCGATTATCTAAAGGTGCTAATCGATTATTGTACATCTCTGCACTTCAAAGTCCCAAAATTGTCAATTCATATTTGCCTTTTCTAAGCTTGGGTATAAGGCTAAAATTATTTCCTGATTTTCAACAAAGAATAAAGCCTTTTCTTCCACAAAACAAAAGCATAATCACTTTTGAAACAAAAGAACAAAATCAGAAACAAAGTCATTGAATGAATAGTGCTGTTTTGGCATTTTATTCACAAAAGTCTAAAGCTTGATTCCCCTTTGTTTTTCTTCCTTATATGCACGAAATTTCTACCCAAATAAACCCAAAGAAGATCAGCTCAAAATCAGGAGAAGCATCTTGGAAAATCAGCTCACATGGATGGACATTAATCTTTGATTTTTAGGAAATAAGTAGGAAGTTTCCTTTATTGTATTTTTCTTTATTTGTTGTTGTATTTCCCCTCCATTGTGGCCTATATATACACATGCATATGGCCATTGTAAGAGGCATGGATTGAATAAAAACTTCTTTGTTTTACTCTTTGAGTAATTCTTTAAAATAGTGTGATGCTATTTTAACCAAATTTCCTAATGAAATATCTCTAAAGTTGGCTACTTTTGAGTGCGTGCTAGGAGTCTAGTTTTATACATTAGTAGTGATTATTAATGTGTAAAAGAAGATAAAAGCCCCAAGTTAAGATAAGAGTGTGNAAGTAGGAAGTTTCCTTTATTGTATTTTTCTTTATTTGTTGTTGTATTTCCCCTCCATTGTGGCCTATATATACACATGCATATGGCCATTGTAAGAGGCATGGATTGAATAAAAACTTCTTTGTTTTACTCTTTGAGTAATTCTTTAAAATAGTGTGATGCTATTTTAACCAAATTTCCTAATGAAATATCTCTAAAGTTGGCTACTTTTGAGTGTGTGTTAGGAGTCTAATTTTATACATTAGTAGTGATTATTAATGTGTAAAAGAAGATAAAAGCCCCAAGTTAAGATAAGAGTGTGTCATATCTCTTAACACCAACTTGGTTTATCCCTTCACTTTATATCTGTCCATTTCATTCCTCACCATTTCTTCTTCTTAAACTTATTCTTTTCTCTCATTAAAAACACCAAAAAGAACTCTTTTCCACACTCCATATTTCACCCCCTCAATTCCATCATCCATTTCCTTCCGCAAATTCGCCATAAAATAGCTACTCGATAAGACCCCGGGTCACGGGTACGACACACCACGACTTAGAAAACCAAAACGATTATCTTAGAAGATGGAAGGACATGAAGGGGTCCCTTAATGGATGTTGAAACAATAAGCTCTGATACCAAATGTTATACCCAAACCGAGGGTTAAACGAGTTGTTATTTTGAGGTGGAATCAAGGGATGATGCAGCTTTTGGTTCAGAGTTCTATGACACTCAATAATCGATTATGGGTTTCTGACAATCGATTATGTAGTGATGCTGCAGAACAAAGGAACTTCAGGGATGCCGGATAGTCGATTGTCACAATTGTGATAATCGAATATTGGTTGTTTGGTTTAGGCGAAGAGAATTCAGAGGGACCAGATAGTCGACTATCAATAGTTGATACTCGATTATTGGGCTTTGCAGCAGACTCTGAGAAAGTCCTGAAGGGTGAGATAGTCAATTATCTTTATTGATACTCGATTATCAAGGCAGTCGGGATTCAAAATCTAGGCAGAAAAATAGTGGAGTTTGAGTGGGAAATGGCTGGGATTAATATGGAAATGATGAAGGAGTTCTTTTGGGTATTTTAATGGATGAAAAGAGTAAGGTTAAGAAGAAAAATGGGGGGATTCGAAATGGATGAAAATCAAGGATGGATAAACCAAGTTGGTGTTTAAGAGATATTACACACTCTTATCCTAACTTGGGGTTTGAATCTAGATTTTAATTAAGATATGACACACTTAATTAAATATCTAGAACCTAAAACTCACACTTAAGATAACCACTCTTAAGATATAGAATTAGGAATTTGGCTAAAATAGCATCACACTATTTTATAAATACTCAAAGAGTAAAAGGAGTTTTAATATTCAAAAGATGTGTTTACAATGGCCATAGGGCCTGATTATATAGGCAGGGGGAAGGGGGGAGAAATACACAATACATTGAATGTAGACATAAGTAAACTTCCTAGCAATATCCTCTCTCAAAGCCCTGAAATATCAGCCATGTTTTGAGGTCCTTTTATTGGAATAAAATCAGGGATGGGTGTGGTTGTAGGGCCTCCAATGAAAAGCAAACCAGGGGGAATGAATGGCCTTCTTTTGGGCTGATTTTGGGGGATGTATTCAGCCAACTAGGGGGACAAAGGGAAAGGATAATGTGTGGTACTTTGGCTGCATATATGATATACCCCCGGTACCTACGAAAGTCCTTAAACAAATTACCGGATTAATGACTAAATCTTACGATCTTTTCTGGAATGAATTTACCCCTCCTAAACCCAAACCCTTAACCATAATTTCCTTGGGCTTGTCCTTACCCTAAAATAAACCCAAACAACCCATTTTCTTTCTTCCTTTTCTGCCCAGGCCGTAGCCCCCTTACCCCCACCCTTTCTCATCAAAAACACATCCCATTAAACTCATCAAAATGACCCACAAATAT